TCAACTGGCGCTTTTAAGTTTAGCAGTAACAACAACAGCAAAATTGAAAAAAAATGTGCAGCTATTTGGATTTTAGAACTAACTGTTAGTACTCTTTTTTTTGCGTTTATGCATAGTATATCCTTGAGTCTCTTCTTCAGGTTTCCGGTCAGACATTGACCCCATTTTTTCCTGTTGTCAGTCTTTCAGATCAGCTCGATTTTTCTCATTGTGTTGTTTGCCACAAATCAAAATTTGTTCAGGCCATCTGTGTTTGTGGTTCTCTGTCTTCCTCTGATCTTACTACCATCTGCCTTCCATAAAGCAGCAGTCTCTAATGTTAATGTTATCTTATTATGAGGCCAAAGAATCTAAATTGTCTCTTTCTAATGGTTCTGATCATATATCTTTCCGAACCCACCATTTCTAGCACTTTTATGTATTTGTTTTCCTCTCTATCCATGCGCTTCTGAGTATTGTCCTTGAGTACTTTTGAAAAAAAAAGTGTCTCTGCGAACTCGTTTTTGACCCAGTTGAAAATCACACTGTATCATAGAATCGACACTCCCAATAATAATTGCCAGTGTGATTACAGCAAAATGGTATCCTACAATCCGAATGGCAATAATTATTGTAAGTATCGATTCCGTAATGGAGCGCGATTAAAATAAAGTGGGCCAAAAACGTGTGGATAACTGAGAACGAGGAACGTAAAACGTAAAAGTGCAGATATTTTCTAAAATACGGGGCGAAACCCAGTGTTACAAGTAGAAGAAGAAAATGGCCCCAACTCTGCCCTTTTCTCGCTATGCTAACTTAGATTTAGGCTTTTTCTATTCATGGGTGGTTGGAGAGCTCCACTGGTAGGTCCTACTTATTTTCTTTCACCGTGCTTTTCGGTCTATTTGTCTTACTTTACCCCAGCACTAAATGACCGTTATTGCGTCATGTGCTTCTCTTTACTTAAAAAAAAAACAACCCAAAAAACTTCTTTCCATTCCTCCAGCAATTGCGTCTTTCTTGTCGACATTTCAGATATATTAAAACTTGGTCTTGGTCATAGGTGTTTATGAAAAGACAATCATCTTTGGCTTCTTTCTTTGACTTTATTTATATCTGCTGATTGACATTGTTTTGAAATAGTAGTACAAAATGTTCTGTTTGCAACTTTTAAAATATAGTTATATATTTACTTGTTATAGAGGGAATGTAAAAAAGAACAGTGAAATCAAACGGAATATAGCGGTGGGGGGTGG